GGGGACCAATGGGGGGAGATGAGGGGAGATGGGGGTCAATGGGGGTCCAGGGGTTCAATGGGGGTCAATGGGGGGTCAATGGGGGTTAAGGGGGTCAATGGGGGTCCATGGGGTCAATGAGGGTCCATGGGGGTCAGTAAGGGTCAGTGGGGGTCAGTGGGGGTCCATGTGGGTCAATGGGGGCAATGGGGGGGTCAATGGGGGTCCATGGGGGTCAATGGAGGTCTATGGAGGTCAACAGGAGTCAATGGGGGTCAATGAGGGTCCATGGGGGTCAACAGGAGTCAATGGGGGTCAATGAGGGTCAATGGGGGTCTATGGGGGTCAACAGGAGTCAATGGGGGTCAATGAGGGTCAATGGGGGTCCATGGGGGTCAATGGGGGTCCATGGGGGTCTGGGCCCCCCCTCACCTCCCCCCGCTTCCACCACCCTGCGGTGCTGCTCCTGCCTGAAGGGCGGCGCCGAAACGCCGGTGTAACGAAGGGCGCAAAGCGACAACCGGAAGCGGAGGCTGCGCGACTCCGAACCGGAATTGTGGACCTTTACCCATAATTCCAACTCCGCCCCGGCCACCGCCGGCCCCGACCCCAAAGTCAGCGTCAGTTCCCCCATAGATGTGGGGCCGCGGGCGCGGGGCCGGGAGCCGTGGGACGTGGCGGTGGAGACGGCGCTGCGCTCCTGGTCAGAGCCTGCGGGAAAAGGAGGTCAAGGAGGGGGTCAGTGGGGTCGTGGTGTGGGGTCTATGGGTCAGTGGGTCAAAGTTATGGGGTCACAGGTCAATGGTTGTGGGGTTTGGGGTCGGGGGGTCAATGGGGTTTGGGGTCCATGGGGTCACGCTATGGGGTCTCATAGGGGTCCCATAGGGGTTGTTATGGGGGTCCCTTAGGGGTCCATAGGGAGTTCCATAGGGGGTTCTATAGGGGGGTTCACAGGGGGTCCCTATGGGGGTTCATTAGGGACCCTATAGGGGCTGCTATGGGGGTCCCTTGGGGGTCCCTTGGGGCGCTGTGGGGCACGGCGGACCCTCGGGGTGCTTGTAGAGGTGCGTGATGTCGATGCGGGCGGCCGAGCGCGGCCCCACGGTGCTGATGCGGCGCCCGATGGCCCCTTCCTCCACGTGGACGATGGCGAAGCCGCCGTTGCCCTTCCGCTGCCAGTAGACCTTGTCGCTGTTCACCTTAATGAGGAGGGCCTCGTTAGTGCCGGGATTCGTTAACAGACCCCGCCTGGGGCGGGATCGCTTTGAAAGGAGGCGCGGGCCCTTTAAGGGAAGCCCCGCCCCCCACTGCAAACCACGCCCCATTGGTGTAAAGTGCGGCCTCTTTAAGAGAAGCCCCGCCCACTCAGTGTAAACCACGCCCCCCCCCCCCTTTTGGATCAAGCGCTGCCCCTCTGAATTCAAAGCGCGGGCCCTTTAAGACAAGCCCCGCCCCTTCCTCCAAACCCAGCTCCCTTTTAAGCCCCACCCCTTCCATTTAAGCCCCGCCCCCTTACATAAACACCACCCTTTATTAAGCCCCGCCCCTTCCCACACGCCCCTCCCCTCGCGCTTAAACCCCGCCCACTTCAGACAGCTCCATTGAAAGCCCCAACGCTTCTCACAAGCCCCGCCCCTTTAAAGCCACTCTCCCTTTAAGCCCCGCCCCTCCACCGAGCCCAGCCATTCAGCAAGCCCCCATCCCGCTAAGCCCCGCCCCCTCCCCTAAGCCCCGCCCCCCTCGGCAAACACGAAGGCGGTGTCGTACTTGAGGAAAACCTCGCCGTTCCTCACGGCCGTCACCGAGCAGGGACCGCAGCAGAACAGCCCTGCAGGCACCAGTACGGACCAGTATAAACCAGTATGGACCAGTATGGACCAGTGTGGACCAGTACAACCCAGTATGGACCAGCCTCAACCCACCCCAACCCAGTATAACCAGTCCTCCCAGTCCTCCCAGTTCCTCCCAGTCCTCCCAGTGCTCCCAGTCCCTCACCGCTGCTGGTCTCCTGTGGGGTCGCATCCACCACCTGCCATCCATCGTAGCCGCTGGGCAGATCTGGGCGCCGCATCCAGCAGTCGTTCCACACATGGAAGTTCCTGGGGGGG